ATTATATGAAATATCCGAGAAATAATAAAACAAATCCTAAGTTATAAATCCATACCGTGACTGGAATCTTTATTTGATTCAGTTGAAGGATTTCTTTGATAAACTGCATAACGAAGTATCCGCAATCTATACCGTTTTGTTGTTGAAGACACTACATAGAAAAACAAATAAGAATATATAGTTGTATTGTTTTATCAAATAGCATAAATATTATAAGCAAAATAGTGGAAATTAATATACCTGCACTTTGATCCAATTAATGTTGTTTGATTTAGACCGTCGTACCCGAGCTTCTCTTTGACACCGGAATACTTGTATCGCTCTAAAAAAATAAAAATATATATTTAGAACAATGTCACAGAAATAATTAAATATATAAATACACACAAATATTTAGAATAATCTCACTTACGTATCAATCATTAACTTCATATCCGGATAATTTGTCCAATCACCGTCAACCGAATTCAGATAATAGACCACTCTTTTATAGGATCGATAGCAACCAACAACCACTGACGTCTATAAATTAAAACAACAATTTAGAAGAAAATTTTCTACGCAAAAATTAAATATATTAAAATGAACTTAGAATGAAAATCTAACCCTGTAGGAATAGTATTATACGCCCAAAGATATAAGCTTTCTGTACTGCCAGTTGCCATGAATCTTTCGACTAAGTGCTCTCTTACTGAATCCGGTTCCCTACCAATTGTCGCTCCGCTGACACGGGAGGAAGACACGAAATGGAATCTATTTGACAATTGATTCCCGCGCATCAATTTGTCATATAACAACCTTAAATAAAAACATAATTAATATTAGACTATATTCATTGAAATGTTTTAAAAAAAATTCAGCTAATTACATAATATAAAGATGGGGTTACCGGATGTATGCGTGCATAATACTGACGCCTAATTCTTTATGACGAAAAATCTCTTCCACGTCCTCATGTCCAATTATTTCGGTGCAAGGAAAACCAAAGATGCCTTGATCCATATTCATTTGACGAATACCACCATCCATCAAATATGTTGTTACCATTATTGTTTCAAGACACTGCCGGTATCGAGGGAAAAATCTAGTAGTAACCATTTTCTTTGGTGGTACGCCAATGATTTTCTGGCTCACTTGTTGTGACCCTTGAAAAGGTACCTAAAAATCATATAGACTCAGTTAAATTATAAAATTATGCAGTTTTTTATTCGGATCATATAATTAACACTTTAAACGTACCTCTTTTTGTGATACATCAGACAAGGACATGTCATTCGACTGGGGTCTTCGGCGTGTACAACAGCAAACTTAATGAATACCGATACCCCGTTCTCGTACTCTTTCGACAATCGATTGGAATACATCCATGTCTTATCCATGGTTTACAGTTTCTGAGTCAATCTGAGCTAAATGATAAATTCGAAAACAAAACCAATACTCAAAACTTGCACTTGCTCTTGCACAACCATATAACAAAACCAATACTCAAAACTTTTCACTAAATTCATTTTATTCTATCAACTACTTTAGTACACAAGTATAATACATTCCTACCAAGAAAAGAGACGAGTAGAACACATAAACAAGAAATCATCATTGCTCAAAATCAATCATAAAAAGCACACGAAAAAAACAATATATTAATAGAGTTAACAATATGGCTACCTTTATTAACTATTTTGTTACGCTCTCTATTATTTCTCTCTTAGCTTGTTTTACCAATGCACAACTTGTTAATGTAAGTCTATATAATTAATTAAGCATTTTTTTCTGGTTCACAATAATATCATAGTATTTTTCAATGCCTCTAAAGAAGTCATGTTCTCTGTACATGAAAGAACCAATAAAACACAACAAACCAAACACTCATGACCATAACAATCACAATTAAGTAACAATGACCATCAACACATATCATCAAAACCAGCATTTTAAAAAACAATCCGCAACCGCGAAAACGGCCATGACGAAACGGTTTTGACAGATGCCACCGTTATCACCATTTTTTTTATATTGAAGAACAAATTATGGTTAATTCACACTAGAACGACCGCAATGAGTATCGGGACACTGAAATCCAGAAAGCCTTTACACGACCGTTTTTAAGACCGTTTTTAAAACCGATGCAAAGAGAAAAAAATGTCATAGAAATTATTATATGTTTTATGAGTTATTATATTAAATTGCACAACCCCTAAATTCAAAACAAGTCATAAACATTGCACGACCACTAAACTCAAATTATTTTATTAAATAATAACTTGAACAAATTACTGTGATGAACAAAAATTAAACACATAAGTTGAAAAATTGAAGTCAAGAAATGAAAAATTGAAGTCACACAATAAAGCAATGGGAGAGGGGAGGATGAACGAGTGGACAGAGAGATGAGAGAAGGTTGTGAGAATCGCGTGTTAAACCGTGCGCAGCAGGAAGTGATGGTGGCAGACTGAGACCTCCGTCGTCGCTGTGTGCGGTGGCATGATGGAAGAGAAACCATGCTTGCTCAAAATCATTAACCAAACAAAAGCACACGAAAACCAGACAAACACATACGAGATGAGGAAAAAAATGAAACCTGATACGAATTGCAGTTGGCCGGAGAAGTGAAGCGCCATTGACCTCCGTAGAAGCTCTGGTTTAGGGTTTTTTCGTGAAGAAAATATGACTGAGAATAGAAAAGTGATACGAATTGTGTTTTGATATTTATTATAAAACTACCTACGAAAGCTCTTTTAAAAGCGCTTTCTAAAGGTCATCTATAACAACGCTTTTACATCAAAAAGCTCTTTCGTAGCATATCCTATAGCAGCGCTTTGGAAAAATGCTTTCTAAGGCTGACCTTTAGCAGCGCTTTTGAAAAGCGCTTTCTTAAGGTACCCTCTGAAAGGCCAACTTTAGCAGCGCTTCCCAAAAAGCGCTTTCTAAGGGTGACCTTTAGAAGCGCTTTTGAAAAGCGCTTTCTTGAGGCACCCTTTGAAAGCGCTTTTTTAAGCGAGTTTTTTTTAAAACCTACAGCAACGCTTTTTTCCAAAAGCTCTTTCTTTTATGTGCTGCTAAAACTTATTTTTGGCGTAGTGTAAGCACAAAATAAAAGTCCAAGTGGACAAAGAAAAAAGTGCATAAACATAAATATATGTTCAAATGGACAAAGGAAAAAATGCATAAACATAAACATATGTCCAAATGAATAAAAGGAAAAGTGCGGAAACATAAACAAGTTGCATGAAATGTAAGTGCTAAAGATAAAAGTGCATAAAAGTAAATAAATAAAGGCATAAAGTAAAGTTAATAATTAGTAAGTTAGAAGTTAATGGTCAAAGGTATGATCAATGATGATTGAATGATGATCTTGGACCAAAGATAATGAAAACTCATTAGAGGATTGATAAAATCAAAACCTCCTAACAACAAGTTTCATAAGTATTAGACCCAAAGATAACAAATAAATCATACTTGGACATTCAAACATAAAGTTTGAGTCACGAATGATCATTTTCTAATTCAGGATAAATTTAACGCTATGTTTAGCAATCATAAGTGGACTCATGTAGAAGTCGCACCTATATGGGGCCGGTCAATAATAATATATGTGCCATACATGTTAGAGACATGGTAGAAACAATGCTCCTAAAACATCTAGCATAAGTAAAATAAAGGTGATCAAGACCTAGGTCACGGAAGATAGTTCTTCAACTATCCATAGGCTTAGATGTACTTAAATTTCAAATGCCTTATCCAATTTGATCAAAAAATAAAATAAAAGAAAGGAGATAAAGTAGAGATAGACAAGAAATTAAATCTCACATTTGAATCAAAGGATTAATCAAACTATCATTAAAATTATTCATCCATTTTGGTAGAGTTTAAACTCAATACCCAAGATCCAATGATGTGAATGAAGCTTATGACTAAAATCCATACGATCCAAGATCAGGCAGAATATACACAAAAATAAAATTGTAATTAAAAAAGCAAATTATAATAAGAAAATGATTTTAAAAATGTTTTTAAAATGAAAATAAAAGGAAAAATGGAAAACTATATTCAAAACATTAAAGAAAAATTAAAAAAGATCATATAAAAGTCAGAAATGATCTCTAATATTTTTAGAATTTTTTTGATAATTTTTTAAAATATATAAGTATTTTTAAGGTAATTAAAACTACTCAAATGAGTGAAAAATTATTAAAAAGATAAGAAAAAAAACAAAATTAAATTTCAGAAAAATTACACTAGGTAAAAAATTAGATAAATGAATTTTGTGATTTGTTTCGAAACTTTTGGAAAAAAATGAAATTAAAATGAATTTTAGAAGTTAAAAGCGAATTAAAACTAAAATAGTAAAAGAAATTAAAACAGATAAATTTGTAGCCATTAGATCAAGTCAACATGGCATTTTATGTAGGATCTACGATCGATAAAAGATGTACACTGCAAAAACAATAGGCGGGCGCACAGAGAATCAGAGTTACCATCATCTTCTCAGACAAAGACAAGTGGCGGAGGGACAACTTGTCCTCCATTGACTGGTGCGGTTCCCAAGGCTGGAAAGAGAGTGAACAAAGGAAAACAAAAAGTCTGATGTACGTTTAAACAACATTATGTTCACCTTTTTTCAAAAAAAAATCTCTCTCTCTCTCTATGTGTAGTCCAACAGTTCTTTCTTCTTTCCATTAAACTCAAACAAAAACACAAAAAATAAGAAATAGAATAGAGATAGAGAGAGAGAAGAACCAAGGTGGAGGGAGAAGAACAACACGATGGAGGTCGATGAAGTTGTTGTGGCGACGCCAAGAGAAATCTCAGATTTCAAAAAAAATTACATCAACTCGTTCAACTTCTCTTTCTAATCTCAAATCTCAAAGTAATTTTTAAAGAAAATAAACCAAATGTGCAAGATCTACAAAGGGATTTTTCAAAACCCTAAACCAACAATTAACACAGAAAAGAGAGTTTAATGGAGGATTGGCGTTCAATCAGAGAAATAGAAACCTTCTATGATGAAGAGAAGAAGAAAACGGCGGCGAGAAGGTCTCAGGGGCGGTTTCCAGCGAAGAAGAAGGGTGATTCCGACAAGTTCTGAGTCAGGTGCGGTGACTGTTTTTCAGGTGAAGTTTTTTCTTCCTTCTCACTGTGTATTCTCTCTGAGTCCTAAAAAAATCTCCCTCTATTTAGTGCTAATGAATCCTTTTATACAGTTAGACTATGGCTTGGCCCAATAATCCGTTTGTTTTTGCAAAGTTTTTGTGAATTTTTTTATATTTGTTGGGCTTGGCTTTGTGGTTGATGTTATTTTTTTGTATCATGGATGATGTTGTTATTAATTTCATCTCTCTACTTTTTTATGTAATGATGACCATGAGGAGTGAACATGAACAAAGAAATCTTGAAAAGATCATGATGCCACTTGGTCTTTAGGTTCAAAGGAGCCATACCATGAATTTTACTTTTTCAAACATAACATTGATGATGTAAATGAAACTTAGCAAATAGCAATGTCATTGTTCTTGTAATATTGATGATGTATATTGAAGTTTAGACCAATGTTGTAGACAACTTTTTGTAGCTTTAGGCCAAACATACGTTGTAATTCAATTAAGTCTTTGTACCCTTGAATTATCTTCTTGCAAATTTGAATGAACTTCTTGGAAACACCAAATTGAATTCTTGAATTGGTATGGATAAAATTCCTTGTAACTTGGATTTATAGGAATAGATGAAAGTTTGAAACCTTTAATGATGTAGAAATTGAGTTTGAACTATATTGGAAGGACCTTGGATAAAAGATTTGGAAATTTAAATTTGATGGATAGAAAGTGGATGACATTTGAATTTGAAATGATAAGTCTTATGAGAATTTGTTCAAAATTTCAATTCTTGATGAATGAGGATTCCAAATAATGAATGGAATAAGTGAAGTTGTTTTAAAATTCAAAGAAAGTAATTTTTTCCTTGAAAGGTGTTTGAAATTTTGGACAATTTCTCTTGATATACTCATGACATTAGGAACTTGAATCATGAATGAAAATTGGATCTTGAAACCTTAATGACTCAAATCTTTGTGAACAAGCCAAATGCCTCAAGAACTTTAATCCAAAATCCCACTTGAAAAGTTGGTGAGATCTTAATCCACAACAAAAACACTGTGACTTGATGCCTTAAAACCTCAACACAAGGAATCAACATCTGAACTTCTTGATCCAAAGCCATGTCTTATAAAAGAAACAAAACACACATTTTTTTGAATTTTGGTTAGATATTAGTAAACATAAAACATGTATGTACAAGATACACAATTAAGGTGCTTGATGATCCCTCAAGGACAAACTTAAAGAGAGGAGAGAGTATAAGTGATATCCATCCCCAATGTTTGATCTTGACGCATTGAAAGACCATGAGATGATGAGGGATATTAGGGAAAAATAAAGGTTTAATAGCTGCCCTTATTTAAGTGTCTTCTATCTGGAGATATGACGGTTAAAACCTTTGTCTCGACGCGATTGAAGATACTTAAATACAAAACAAATCCTATTTTTGGCCCTAAGATGTCATGCAATGCTTATAGTTATTAATGTTAAAAGAAGAAGGGGAAAGGAAGCCCACAGGGGAACATAAGACACCACCAGGGAAGATAAAACTCAAAATCATAAAGGAATGCTTCTGCCGGGAGGAACAGATTCAACTCCATTGGGAAGATTGTGTAATGAGGAAACCCAAAACCACAGACATGATAACAGACAAAGTAAGATTCCAATGAGGAGATTCTTAACAATGCAAGAAACAAGTCAGCAAGGAAGTAATATCTTAAGAAAGGACTATTGACTCGACCGAGGAAAGAAACTTAACTTCGTTGGAGAAAGAAAACTTAACTCCACTGGGGAAAATATAACTCAAATCTATTGGGGAAAGTCTAAAAGAGGAGAAAGAGGAAACAAGATAGCATCATCTCATTAAATGAGGGTAAAGCAAAGGAACACACCGACTAACAGATGACGATGAACTACCAACTCAGCGTTTAAGGTAGAAAAACAGAATAATATCGACTAAGAGATGAAGGTAAGCTACCAACTCAAGGTTGAAGGTAGAAAATCAAAACAATACCAACTTTTACTAAAGGTAGAGAAACAAAAGATATATCGATGTTTACTGAAAGTGAACTGCCAACTTTCAGTGAAGGTAGAGATATAAAAGATACACTGACATTTACTGAAAGTGAACTACCAACTTCCACTGAAGGTAACAATCAAAGGATACACCAACTTTTATTGAAGGTGAACTACCAACTTCCACTGAAAGTAGAGAAATAAAATATGCATCGACTTTTACTGAAGGTAACAATCAAAGGATACACCAACTTTTATTGAAGGTGAACTACCAACTTCTACTGAAGGTAGAGAAATAAAAGATACACTGACATTTACTGAAGGTGAACTACCAACTTCCACTGAAGGTATAGATATAGAGAAAACACCAACTTTTACTGAAGATGAACTACCAACTTCTACTAAAGGTAGAGATATAGAGAAAACACAAACTTTTACTAAAGGTGGACTACCAACTTCCACTGAAGCTAGAGATATAGACAAAACACCAACTTTTACTGAAGGTGAACTACCAACTCCCACTAAAGGTATAAATATAGAGAAAACACCAACTTTTACTGAAGGTGAACTACCAACTTCCGCTGAAGGTAGAGATATAGAGAAAACACCAAATTTTAGTAAAGGTGAACTACCAACTCCAAATGAAGGTAGAGATATAGAGAAGACACCAACTTTTACTGAAGGTGAACTACCAACTTCCACTGAAGGTAGGATCTGCATTAATAACAAATTTTCCCTAAGTTCTGAGGTTTCAACTAGAGTGGGTCTAAACTTCTTCTTTTTTTAAAAAAATCAAGATATCACTTGAAAAGGGTAATAAACTTCACATGACTTTTGAATTTCACCAAGAATGGTAACAATTTATTCTAATAAACTTCCCACGCTTCTGGTCATAAGCCACGAACGGGTCTCAGTTCTGATAATAAACTTCCCCACGCTTCTAGTCATAATCCATGAACGGATCTCAATTTTGATAATAAATTTCCCCATGCTTCTGGTCATAAGCCACAAATGGGTCTCAGTTCTGATAATAAACTTCCCCATGCTTCTAGTTATAAGCCACAAATGGGTCTCAGTTTCTTATTTAACCAAGTCTTCTACTTGAAAAGGGTAACAATCTGTTGTAAAGATCTCTCAACTAATTGTCTCTATCATATTGAAGAGACCAGCCATCCATTAGTGTAAATAAAATTTCACAACGAATTATCTTTATCATATTAGAGAGACCAACCATCCATTAGAGTAAATAAAAACTAATATCTGGATGACACTCAAGCTGCTCAAATAAAGAGATTTCCACCTGCTATCAAATAGAACATGCTAGGTACACACCTTTTGCTCAAATAAAGAGGTTACCACTTGTTGTCAGGCAAAGATTCAAAGAGAGTGTCATATAACGCTCCTGGATAACAAAATTTTCATCTTCTGATGGGGAAATCATAAACAGATTACAGCTAAAGAGAACAGAATCCTCAAAGGTGCAAAATAAACGCACTCTCAATCTAGGTTTCACAGCCTAGAGAGATCAAAACATATTGTTGTCGGAGACAAAAGTTTAAACCAGGAACAAACCGGAGTGAAATGGTCAACCAAGATCTACCCAATAAGGAACAAGCGTAAATGGGGATTAATTCCATCCAGGTAATGATTTGGGGAGGAAGGCTGAAGCAAAATTCTTCCACGAGGAATAAGCTCAGTGGGGATATTAAAAGGATATACACTTTTTGCTTAAGGTTGTCATTCTATTGGAGAGAGACAATACACACTCTGCAAAGAGGATAAAATATCAATGAAAACATCAATGAATGAAAATGAGCCATGAATCTTCATTCAGCTTATGCATAATGCATGAATAATATATGGATGTTATAATTATGCACATGTTGACAATACATACATATTATACTGGGGATAACTAGACAAAATAAACTTGTGTATAAATGACATTCAGCTAAATCACATCCAAGATGGAAATTCCATAAGAGAGTAAGCAACCGACTGAGGAAAGAATGTCCTTCTTCGAGGCTTAACTTCTTTGGGAAATGAAATTTTGCTTGAGAATAAACAAAGCACAATCCTGTAACAATAATCCACAAAGTTGTAGAGATAACAACGTCCTCTAAGCTTCACATGGAGATAACACACAGACTTTTCTAGGGAAGATGACACCACATCCGTTGGGAAGAAAACACAAAGCTTCTCTAATACCAAGAATAGTGATTGCACAAACTCTGTTGGAGACAATCAAAGAATGGGGATAATAACCTTAAATGGAAACATCACACTTAATTTACATGGGAAACTAATAAGTTAACACCACATCAAGAAATCAATTTTATGGGGATTTTAAATCAAACTCAACACAGGGCGAGAGAAAACCCAAAAGTTGACAGTTGTCTCAACACTTCTTAGAGAAGATACTGCTTGTGACCTGCTACTAGGGGAGCACACAATACAAACAATGTCATAATAGGAAAGGTAAAATACACTACATGAGATTATTTATCAAGTCTCAACACGAAGGGAGAAAGAATCCAACAACTGAGCAAAAGCTTCATAACATTACAATCTCTTCTTGATCACAACCTGGCTGGGGGAAAGAAATCACCTTCAGCCGAAGAAATCAAAATCAAGACTCAACTGGAGAATATTGGATCACAAACCTAACACCACATAGTAACTTGGAGGAGACCCACTACATGATCAACCACTGTAGAGGATATTATGCACCCATCTACAAGGCAGATCACAAGAAAGAATGATTATCATGTATGAACAATAATTTACAATCTTCAATTTATAAATTACCCCAGACTACATGGTCTATGAAAGAATTTACCTTTGAAGGGGAAGCCTTGTACCATAAGGACTTGAAACAATCTTCCCCAGGATCCTCAAACTCTTTGAGAGATTTATCGAATCTCGACGTAACCCCCAAATTGACTGTACCTAAAAAATTCCATGCTCAACAGCTCTTTAAGGCTACATGCCCTTGGCTAATACTCAAATGTAAACTTCCTTGATATCAATAATTTGTTTTACAAGCATAAAATGTTTATTCTGAGAATGAAAATTCTAATGCAACGGTTATGTAAATCTTGAAGATTTTATTAAAAAGA